TATTTATTGATATTGGACACCGGCCCATTACAACAATATATACATAAACATATAATTTCTTGACTGGTGTCAGTACAGATCGATGTATATTCCTAATAATGTTTATATTGAAACACACAGAACTATTGTTGAATAATTTACCAAAATGCGTGTCGATCTTAACGAAAAACAAAGCATAAGATCTTCACTTATGGCTATTCATTGCAAAATAAGAAAACATACTATAGCCTTAACATTAAAGGCAATAGTGTTTTTATCAGTCTTGAACTTTGTACAACATTGCCCGAAATGAAAAGTAAATCCATTTATCACATCACTGTACAAACGTATTCAACACTGATGTTTCAAAATTGAAAACAACAAACTAATCAATACCTGAAAGTAACATTCATGATATTATAAAACTATTCTCAAATATTTTATAACAATAATTTCAAATTTAAGTATCTGTGTTATAACATACAAAATGATTCCGAGAATATGATCTAAACAATATAGTAAGTATATCCTAATGATTTCTAACTGTCAGTATCTGTAATACTTAATATCTCATTTCTCTCTTTAAATGCATAATATACATACATAGCTAAATTTGTTATTACATTATCAGATCGAGAGCACATTAGAACATTAAATTTATTATTATTAGGATTATTAAAGAATTTTTTGTTAATGTATTTTTCTCAAATTAAAGAAAACTTTTTACAAACTAAAACAAAATGATATTCATTTCCAATTGCTTCGTGACATAATTTACATATCCTTTGTTCTCTTAAAATATTCTGGTATCTACCTTTTTCAATTTCTAAATCATGGGAGGACAACCGAAGTTTGGCAAGAGCATTTCTGAATTTTCTAATTGTCACTACTGTTAAGTAATATTCATGTTCGATATTGCATTTAAACTGTCTATACGCATACCATTTAGAACTATCATTTATAATTGTTTGCCATTCTTGTAGATATTGGTCCTTTAATTTTTGTACAAAGGAATTTATGAAATAGTCTTCATTATTGACTGTTTGATTATACCAAATGTAGCCTAAACAATTTTTACATAATAAATTACGAATACCAGTACACCAATTAGTTTTCCTGTACTATCATAATACAACTGCATAAAATAGCATTTTTTAACTAATCTGTGCTCACCCATTTTGAGTATTTTACACCAATATCTTACAGCTCTTTTAGCAGAATTTATAAACATAGGAAATCTCCCACAGTCACCTAGGACACCTGCATAAATTGTTGTTATTTTTTCACACATAAATATCTTTTACATGCATAGTTATGCACTATCTCTGGCTGTATAAACTTGTGTATACCCCATATTTCTGATCCATAAAGTAAAATAGGACTAATTTTTGTATCAAAAATATTAAAAAATACTTTTGGGGATAACTGTCCGTAGTCATATAATTGTGAAAGTATAGAAATAAGTACTCTTTTTGCTTTATACGCTTGTTCACTAGCCATTCTGTTTAAGGACAACGGTTGTGTTAATGTTATACCTACGTAACTTAAATTGCTTACAACTTCAAGAATTTGATTATCAAAAAACCATTTCTTGCCTTTCGCTAATTTCCCACCATTCTGAAAAACCATTACTTTTGATTTTACAGCATTAACTTTTACATTTTTTTCATCACAGAAATCTTTTACCAAATTCAATAACTTCTGAAGGCTAGCAACAGTATCTGCAGCTTAGGCCAAATCATCTGCAAATAATAAAGATAATAACTCAGTTGTATCTGGGAACAGCTGGATACCTCTGATTCCACTATTTTCAATTCGTTTAATTAATTCATCAATAAAAACTAAAAATAGAATTGGCGAAGCCATGCAACTTTGTTTTAGACCTATGGGACAGCTGAAATATTCAGTAAGCCCTGCATCAGTTCTAACACAAGCTTGCACCGACCGATACATACCAAATATTGCATTGTATAATTAACCTTTTATACCGGCTTGTTTTAAAGCTTGCCAAATATTATGTCTATTTATCAAATCGAAACATTTCATGAAATCAATAAATGCTACATAAAGTTTACCACCTTGCTTTGATAACTGTTTGTCAATAACTGCTTGAAGTACATAAACATTATCAATTGTCGAGTAACCTTCTCGGAATCAGTATACATGTATATCTAAATTATGTTATATCAAAACAAAACTGCCTCTATATCCCTATTCATTATCCTAATGTAATTTTTCTGACAAATTAGGGAAATAAAAACACGAAAAAGTGGGACTACTTGTGAGGATCGATCTCGTGATAAAATTTAATGTGTATGACATTCTCATGACTTTACTAACTTTGCCATCAAGACATTCTTATTTTACATTAGCTTCTGAAAACCCTGTTTTTCCTATTCAGACGAAGGTTTTAAACTACAAAAGAAACTGTAACGTCACTCTCACATTATCAAAGCGGCGTTTTTATCGCTTTCGCATGTATTAACTAAAACATTTCTATCATTTGCATATATAGAAGTGATTAACAGTAAAGAAATACATATCTTTTTGATACAATAATATGTTTAAGATAAGAAAAACTAATTTGATAAAATAAAGTCACTTGCATTGTGCATCTGTATCAAACTATTGTGTGTGTTCGTTTTGTTTTTATTTCATATATTTAATTTTTGCATATTAAAAGCAAGGATGTTTTAGCATTTTCTAATGCGCTGCAAAATGCTTATGCCTTCATTTCATAAAGTGGCATCATTCAGCCTAAAAATTGATTCTAATAAGATATAAATAAGAACCAATGTATTAATTTGTCCAATAAAAAAATATAACGTAAATTTTGAAAACTCAGTACATCAAAATATGGGTAATCCTGAACTGAATAAATAGCCAAGAATATCAAATGAACACCAACAGTTGTCTGTCCTGAATTGCGAGTAAACACGATATTGCGATGGCTAGAAAAATACAGACAGAACCGTTTTAAAACTTCAAGTTCGTTGCGATATTTTATATTCTCGAATTTTAAAATTCTTACACCGACAAAAGGCTTGTGATCTAAGCTTCGTATCAATGTAAAAATAAACATATCATTGACACCAAGGGTAAGTGAATTAACTGTTAAACTTAACACCTGTCAGTCGTATAACATCCTATTATACAGATATATATCTGTCATTTTTTGTATTAATGTAAATAAAAAAAAGTCTGACAAATATTTTCAAGTTTTTGATTCATCTGATTGCATAATGATTTTAATAAATAAAGACATATTTGTTTGCTATTTGTGTTAGATTTTTAATCATTTAATAGTAGGTTAATTTAAATGATATATTACAACATGTGTACAGAACCTTAAAAAAGTGAATAAAATGAAAAAGCGAAGTCTTTAAATTGACTTATAAATGTTTGTATCAAAAATGGGACTATATTTGCGAATAAATAATAAGTATTTTGCTCGTTAAATTATCAAGATTGAGAAAGACAATTTTATCTAAAAATTTCTACACATATTTTTTAGAAGTACTAAGCAATTTTCTTTTTAAATTTGTTATTTATTTTTTATTAGTACAAAACATATGAAAAACCTATTTTTCGGCTATCTATTGCATACAATACTATTATAATAAATAGAATTTTAGTGTGACTTGTCGAAATGGTCTTTCAGCTTGATTGCACATTGATTTCGCAAGCTTGATTTCAAGTGATAATTGTAAGACACAAACAAACAAACCAAACGTTGATTAAACACCTTTAAAATATTGTAACTGTATATAAGACAGTACTTTAATACTGTAATGCGACTGTAATTTGTATAAATTGAAAAATAAACACGAGTTTAGTTTTTCATTAACTGGTAAAAAACAGGCTTTCAAGTCATGTTTGTTTTATGGAAAAATTGTAATAGCATGAATTACAAATATCATCTCAATTTCATTTTAATTTGTTTGGATAAAATGAAGCTCTCGGGGAGGATGAAAACATGGAGAGTGGGGATTATTATCTAACAATTATTATGTACTGCCTATTATAAACTAACCCTAACCTTATATAGAAAGTTATACATAAGGAAACAATCATGCACAGTTTATTTTAGAAAAAGAAGAGATTCAATAAATAATGAGTTTCATACAGATTATCTTTATTCATCTATGAAATTTGTTAGTTCTTAAAAGACTTGGATAAATGCTCGAGGAAACATTACACTTTAATATTTGTTTAAGCCACTTCACAAGAGAAGCTTCTTAAAAAAAGTACAGGCAATTATTATTTATTTTACTGCCTAAAAAGTAACTACTTCATCAGTGACAATAATCATAATTTTTTGTAGATCATACTGGCTGATGATAATTGCTGTCAGCAGGGATTGAAATAGACTAAGTCTACCATTATAAATTGATATAGGATGTACACTCTTGTGTCATATAAAAGCTTCTTATGGAATACAGAGTTCAGCAGTTTACCTTAAAAATGTATTGTTTTTTTTAAATTATATTCAACCTGTGTGCTAGTGTTGCCGACAGGCTGGCAAGTTCTGGTTAAATTTATTGTGAAAAAGATGTCATTTAGCTGCAATTGTAACAATGTAAAAAGAAACAACCTTTACAAAATAACCTTTTATATAAACAAACAAAAACACTTGTAATATTAACACGGGGAAGGAACTGTAAAAAACTACCAGATTTTTTAAAAAGACGATGAAAAATGGACTAAATGGGTTTTTATTTGAAATATAAAACAATATGTAGGGCAAGCTTAATTATCAGAGTTTAATTAAGTACCTCAAACTCCCTATTTAAAGGTAAAATATGATTTTTCACGCGAGTTTTTCAGGTATATCGAAATGTTTTCCACAGAAATCTGTAACGTAGTCAAGGAACTTCGTGACAGTTATCATAACTATTTGTCAAAGGAACTCCATCCCACATGTAACATTTTCTCCCACGTGATTAACAACTGTTCAGTATAAAAATGTCCTTATCCGGCAAAGTGGAGCCCTTCATTTTCTTCAGATGGGTATGTAGTCCTTAATTGACCACATCACAAGATGGCAGGACCATCCGAACATCCTTCTCAAGGTAACCTCGAAACCATGTGGCCAGCGGCCGATACGCAGTATATATGTGTCTTCTGAAACATTAACAGATATAAAATTCAAAAGTAATGGGAAATTTACATGTAAAGAGTAATTTGAGCTGGGCACTTTTTTAGTTTTACTTCAAATGTAAAGAAAAATAATTGGAATTATCTGATATTGAAAACATCTATACATTTTACAGTCATATAGATAATCCCTGAATAACAAAAGCAACATCAAAAATTTAATCAAAATGTTATTTTTATTCATGTTCTACCACTGGGGTGATTATTTAAAACATATTAAGAATGTGCATACAGTATAAAGTGCACCAACCTATTAACAACCTCCTCTTCCCTTTCACCATACTGATGACTATACTGAAAATAAGCTGTTCTCAGTTTATAACTATCAAGGCAGACCGTACTGAACCCCCGATCAGCAGTAATGCAACTAAGGCTACATCCGATTTCTATCTTGTGCTCTTCCATCTTGACTGATATTCTGGTGACTCTAAAGCAACACCAGAACTCTACAGTAGTTGCTATCATTTGGCTGTTGTAACATGTACACATGGAAAATAGAAATTATTGTTTCACCTTATGACTTAAGGTTTTGCGAATGTTATGAGAGTGTCATACTATTGGTCAAAATAAACATTTAATTTCAACCCGACATTATTTTTATCCGAAACAGCTCTGTCAACAGCTTTTTACCGCTTATAATGTATTAAACAAAGAACTATTAAATGAACAAAATTCATAAAAGTGCACAATACATTGAACACCCGTCGATATTTAAGGCCTGACAAGTAAATACAATATAAAAATGTTTACCATTCGCCAACATCCAGTTCTTGTGTAGCTTCCACAGCGTCATTTCTTCCCCGAAGTATGATCTTTAGGACTGCCATCACCATCGCCGGTCACCAGCGGTTCAAACTGGATGGAGTGAATCCCTTCACCATAATTGTCTCTTTCTGGTGAGCTCTAATCGTCCAAGCTAGTATCATTTGATGAAAACTCGTCAAACTGTCCACTACTCAAACTAAACGTCATTATAACTGAGTGTGTAAAAGTAAACATGAACCTCCTGTGACGTCACAGTCGGAAAAGTGGTTCGTCGTATTTCGTAATTTTCCGTAATTTAAATCGGCATTTCCGTACAGGTGCAATCGGTGCTTTATGGATTGCTTGATTACAATGTACAACAGTATCTCCGGTTCAAAAAAGAACATTCGTAATAATTTATTCAAGCAATACTCATAAAATACACAAAATGTCTACCTTTATATCGGGTTTATATAACCTTTCATAAATTAACAAAATTAAATAATAAGCAGTTGAAACAAAAATACAATGTTGCATATAAAGCTGTAGTTTAGATCGTAGTTATAAACAATTACTCGATATACATAGCAAAGTAAAAACAAGTTAACTCGCTTATAATTAACACATCGGATATTCAAAATAAAATCCTTTGGCTGGGGTTCGTTAAAGTTATCTCCCTCACATTGATTCAAAAAGAACAAAACATTTTTTTTTTCTAAAATATAATCTTTATATATAAATAGATAGATTTCACAATTATATGATACATACAATATTGTTATTTATAAAAGAAAAACAGCATCATGTAGAACAACATTCATTTCCCTTTGAAGAAGACGCTTATTAGCGTCACATGTTTTAAAAAGATACTTTGTTATAGTCATGACGGCGTTGAAGCTGACGTTGTCATCCGCAAACATTAATCTTGATCAAAACGTTTAAATTTCTTAGTGCATTGTCTTCATTCTTGTCCACAACAACCTTTGGGACAAGACCTTCAAGTGGACACGCTTATTTAAAATATTTACACTGCAAACATTCAAATAGCATCGTCTGAGAAAGTTTATCAAAAACAATCGCCAAACAAAAGAGCGACTTGTCATCACAGATCGGGTGAAAAAAGCAATGCAAACTGCAAAAGACAGTGCTGCAGGCCCGGAGGAAATTGACTACCAGTTAAATAGGCATTTGCCACCCCGGCGAGGTGCAGGCGTTCGTCTTGAAATTTTAATTGGTGAAGCCAATGTAAATAAACATCACCTAGTTTCAATTTTTTTAACTTGAGAAGGCTTACAATACTACTTGAGCAATTGAAAGGCAACTTCAACAAAATCTAGATCAAATTCAAAAGTTGGCAACAGAAAATGGTTTAAATTTTCAAAATCAAAAACTCAATGGGTACATATTTTGTCAATTACGGAAATATCATAATGACCCTTAACTCTACATTCCTAGTTTAAAATTCCAGTAGTTGAGGCCACGTTTAGGAATTATATTTGATAAAAAAAACTTCATTTAATACCACATCTTAAAACATTTGAAAACTAAATGTCTAAAAGCTTTTAATTTACTTACGGGTGTATCAAGTACAAATGGGGGATCAAATTATTCCACACTACTGAATTATCCAAAAGTCTTATCCAATCAAATTAGATTATGTTCTGTAGTATATGGGTCTGCATACCAAGACAACCGCCAATTAAAACTCCGTGGAAGCTCCGTAGCATCGCCATGATTGCCGTGAAATAGAGTGAAATAAGAATCCCTAAAGAAAGTCCAAAGCGACAAAATTTAAGACCCATGAAGTCTTCATGACATCAAAAATATCACATTTCTATTGCCATATCGAGGCACTTTGTTAAATTAAACAACATTGTGCAAAAGTAGTGACAACAGCAGTGTGGCAGGGTCTTAATACTAAAGGTATCATTTCTTATTGAACTTACCTTGACTTCTACAATTTTGAGTTTTGAATACAAATATAAATATATAAAACAAAGACTCGTTGCAACATATATCAATAAAACAATTCTTGAATAATCCTTTTTGTTAATAAACAATTTCATTTTATATTTACGAATGTATATCAAATACTCTTCTTTATCAACGAATATACTGCTCAACAATCAGACACAAGATAACGAATGCTTATATCAAACTTGAAATATATATTCCTTATCAAAACGACGGCAATGCATGTCAATTTAGGAAATAGATATTAATTCTGAGTGCATTATTGTAGAATAATGCACGGTTTGAGTTCAAATGCGTTGTAATAAAACCGCGAAGGCGGAAGGCCTGAGTGATTAATTACAAAGCATTTGGACGAAAAACGTGCATTATTATACAATAATGCACGAAGAATTAATATCTATTTCAATTCTTACACGTTAAGAAAAAAAAAATATTATAATGAAGTTGGACTTTATGTTTGGTGGTTAAATTTGTTTTCGTCTCAGAGTTTTCCATAGAATCGTTCTTTAAAGGCTGTTCTAGTTGGTTGAAAAAAAAATCTGTTGTAAAATCTACCGTGTGTAGAAAAAAATTGAGAATAACGAACTTTGAAAACGTTGATAAGGTTAGGGTTAGGGTTAGGGTTAGGGTTAGGGTTTAGGGTTAGGGTTTAGTTTAACTATAGTTACGTTTGCGCGAAATACTCTTGCACTGCAAAAGTACTATGCCTATTTCATACTAAACACTATACAGGACAAAAATCAAAATCATCCGTACATGTATATTTAATGACAATGACAATGACAATTTATTTATTGATATTGGACACCGGCCCATTACAACAATATATACATAAACATATAATTTCTTGACTGGTGTCAGTACAGATCGATGTATATTCCTAATAATGTTTATATTGAAACACACAGAACTATTGTTGAATAATTTACCAAAATGCGTGTCGATCTTAACGAAAAACAAAGCATAAGATCTTCACTTATGGCTATTCATTGCAAAATAAGAAAACATACTATAGCCTTAACATTAAAGGCAATAGTGTTTTTATCAGTCTTGAACTTTGTACAACATTGCCCGAAATGAAAAGTAAATCCATTTATCACATCACTGTACAAACGTTTTCAACACTGATGTTTCAAAATTGAAAACAACAAACTAATCAATACCTGAAAGTAACATTCATGATATTATAAAACTATTCTCAAATATTTTATAATAATAATTTCAAATTTAAGTATCTGTGTTATAACATACAAAATGATTCCGAGAATATGATCTCAACAATATAGTAAGTATATCCTAATGATTTCTAACTGTCAGTATCTGTAATACTTAATATCTCATTTCTCTCTTTGAATGCATAATATACATACATAGCTAAATTTGTTATTACATTATCAGATCGAGAGCACATTAGAACATTAAATTTATTATTATTAGGATTATTAAAGAATTTTTGTTAATGTATTTTTCTCAAATTAAAGAAAACTTTTTACAAACTAAAACAAAATGATATTCATTTCCAATTGCTTCGTGACATAATTTACATATCCTTTGTTCTCTTAAAATATTCTGGTATCTACCTTTTTCAATTTCTAAATCATGGGAGGACAACCGAAGTTTGGCAAGAGCATTTCTGAATTTTCTAATTGTCACTACTGTTAAGTAATATTCATGTTCGATATTGCATTTAAACTGTCTATACGCATACCATTTAGAACTATCATTTATAATTGTTTGCCATTCTTGTAGATATTGGTCCTTTAATTTTTGTACAAAGGAATTTATGAAATAGTCTTCATTATTGACGATTTGATTATACCAAATGTAATCAAAACCATTTTTACACAATAAATTGCGTATACCAGTACACCAATTAGTTTTCCTGTACTATCATAATACAACTGCATAAAATAGCATTTTTTAACTAATCTGTGCTCACCCATTTTGAGTATTTTACACCAATATCTTACAGCTCTTTTAGCAGAATTTATAAACATAGGAAATCTCCCACAGTCACCTAGGACACCTGCATAAATTGTTGTTATTTTTTCACACATAAATATCTTTTACATGCATAGTTATGCACTATCTCTGGCTGTATAAACTTGTGTATACCCCATATTTCTGATCCATAAAGTAAAATAGGACTAATTTTTGTATCAAAAATATTAAAAAATACTTTTGGGGATAACTGTCCGTAGTCATATAATTGTGAAAGTATAGAAATAAGTACTCTTTTTGCTTTATACGCTTGTTCACTAGCCATTCTGTTTAAGGACAACGGTTGTGTTAATGTTATACCTACGTAACTAAAATTGCTTACAACTTCAAGAATTTGATTATCAAAAAACCATTTCTTGCCTTTCGCTAATTTCCCACCATTCTGAAAAACCATTACTTTTGATTTTACAGCATTAACTTTTACATTTTTTTCATCACAGAAATATTTTACCAAATTCAATAACTTCTGAAGGCTAGCAACAGTATCTGCAGCTAAGGCCAAATCATCTGCAAATAATAAAGATAATAACTCAGTTGTATCTGGGAACAGCTGGATACCTCTGATTCCACTATTTTCAATTCGTTTAATTAATTCATCAATAAAAACTAAAAATAGAATTGGCGAAGCCATGCAACTTTGTTTTAGACCTATGGGACAGCTGAAATATTCAGTAAGCCCTGCATCAGTTCTAACACAAGCTTGCACCGACCGATACATACCAAATATTGCATTGTATAATTAACCTTTTATACCGGCTTGTTTTAAAGCTTGCCAAATATTATGTCTATTTATCAAATCGAAACATTTCATGAAATCAATAAATGCTACATAAAGTTTACCACCTTGGGTTAGGGTTAGGGTTAGGGTTAGGGTTAGGGTTAGGGTAAGACCTGAATGACGATGATGCCCAAATGGGCATTCGAATGATGCCCAAAATGAATTTGATTGGTCAATATTATCACATGGTAACAATGTGCTATTTATAGAATATAGTCGCATGATACCAATATCCTTTATATAGATTGCATTATATTATATATAAAATATGCCATTTTATTCTCGCTATCCTGAACAGACGGACGGACGGATGTTTAATATTTTTGTTGTATATTT